GTGACGTTCTCGTGCCCTTCCTTTTCAGGTCAGAATGCTTGAAACGATATATATGCAGAGTTCTATTGCGTACTACGGGTGTTGACCATAGAGGTTCATCTTCTTCTCCTTCCCTCAAAATACGTCCAATCCCTGTCCACCTTAAATTTAACCACTAACCTTGTATACGTTGCGAGTTTAGCAGTGATCAGTGAAGTTCGCCTCACTGTATTTCGCTGTGCGATGATGATGATGTTGATGATGATCGAGCCGGTGACCACTGCCACAACCGGGAAGGTGTGGTTCGTACGCTTTGTTTGGTTGGTTTAGAATCAGGGTTTTTGACCAACTAAACTAGGTGAACTACCAGTGATCCACCAACCCGGTTATAGCTCCGAATTTCGGCTTTTCGTCCTCTCACTTTAGTGGGGGAACACCTCTGCCATGAGAAGGCAATGAGCAGGGCTTCCTCAGCAAAGGGTATTTCAGAAACTTGGCCGTATGGGAGCATTTCGTGAGGTGCAACAGAAGGGTGACCAGTCGCAACCCTAGACAACCAGCTCCTGGCCATACTAGGGCTTCCGGGTGGTTGACCTCTCTCTTCGTTTCTATTTAACTTTATCATAGATTTAATTCTTGAAACAGCCCTATCCTAGGACAGCGGTATCAATTTACGTCCAGTTGGCAGAGTGCCTGATGTAGAGTACGCAGACGAAATTGTGCTACTAAATGAGGATACAGGTCGGCTGCAAGCTGTCTTGGACAGCTTGAATGCCAGTGTAGCCATGTTCGGTTTGCGTTTTGCACCTTCAAAGTGTAAAATGTTACTACAAGACTGGGTTAGTCTAGCATCCAGCCTCACTCTAGCTGGTGAAGTAATAGAGCTGATGGATAAGTTTTGTCATTTGGGCAGCTATATCTCACCTGCTGGACATATCACGGACGAAGTGCCAGTTCGCATACTGAAGGCTCGGTTGATATTTGCCAACTTGAGACATCTGTGGCGCCGTCGCGACATCCGGCTGTCCGTGAAGGGTCGAATGAATGCTGCAGCAGTTCGGCCAGTCCTGCTCTACGGTGCAGACTTGACCATCACGGAAACATGATATGACTGCCGGTGTTTGAACACCGCTGTCTACGCCGCATTGCACGAGTCTGGTGGGGTAACCGGATGAGCAATGCTGAGGTTAGGCGTAGAGTTTTAGGCAGTCGAGGTCGCCCACTAGAGCAAGTAGTGAACCTCCACAGACTGCGTTAGTTGGGGCATGTGTTACGCATGGCACCAAATAGGTTGCCACTGCGCGCGGTTTGCGAGGCAGGTAGCGGATGGAAAAAAGATCAAGGGCGGTCAAACGAAGACCTAACATTAGGGTATGAAAGCCCTAACCAGGAGTCTGGGTGACATAGGTCCCGTTAGGTTCCCTGGATGGGGACCTCGGGATGATGGTATCCGAGGGTACAGACGCTGAGTGATATGGGTGGGTGTCGCGAACAGTGGCGTTCATGCATCCGCTGATCTGCAACCATGTAACCTGAGTTTATATGAATTCTACTCTATCTCCTCTAACCTGCTCTCAACATTCCGGTCTTCATTCTGCTCTATCTAAATGGGCAGTCCAACGACAGCAACCAAAACCAGCTCACGGTTAATGATTATAAAAGCTGAACAGAAAAGATGTATATGCTACTATCACTGGTCACGCAACTAGACAAGTGGAAGCCATCCACCATAACTTATTTCAGACTTAACCATCAGCGCGGTCACCTTTTGTCCAATGGGTGCAAAGAACATCCCAGATGGAGCTATATAACTTGTTAGTCTCGTACGTGCGCACGGTGCGTTCGATGTACAGGCGATAGATGAGCGTACTTCGAATCGCACAGCTTTTTCTTCCAACTGCCCACTTAACACCGTCTAAGAAATCACTTGGTATGTTCAACAGTTCCCGTTTTCGACGATGTCCAGTATTAACGGTGAAATAGAGCATCCTTGAGTAACACTGCCGGTGGTAGCAAATGATTGTATGGCCACAGTTAGAGATATAAACAAAAGAACTCAGAACACTCGGAGCCGGAACTTCAAGTGGCGAACCACATCAGGCCCCCTCAAGTAGTACACCACAAACTCCATCACCCCCCAAAGAACATTTCAGAAGTATCCGCTATGGACCATAAGTCAACGGCGGTTCGAATACTTGCCTTAGTGCGTTACGCCCATATCAACGGTTTGAAAGAGAACAGTCCGTGGTACATCTTGACTTTGACTGTGAAAGGCTTATCGATGAGCTGCTGTGATCATTCCTAAAACCTATTACAAATCATGGAAAGGAAGCGAGTCTAGCAATCGGCTTTTAATTTTCAACAGGTTAAACAACAAAGTTATCCAACCTCGCGAGGGCTGCACAGTTTCATTAAAAAAGGTGAAATGTTCGCATCCCACATCTCGATAACTTGCTTTTGGCATTACTATACTTAACCGTACCACTGAAAGCAAACCCCAGTGAACAAGAGTGCACAAGAGGACAGCTAGCTGAAAATTAATTTCTTCCACATTATGACTTCGGTGTGTTCCATTTACCATCGGAATTCCGGCAGTTACAAATTTAAGGGTACCTACCCCACGAACTTGTGGTGACAATGATGTTACGGTAGACACACGGTTTCATCCGTGCACGCTTTCACTTAGCACAACTCATGATGCGTGCGTCGTCTGCCGCTCGGGATTCTGTATTCCTCTGCAGTATTTCGCCAGGTCAATCACTGCCGGTGCTGTCCAACCATTATTCAGTTGCCCTCAAGATTAAGAACCGAACTCTTTTGCGGACATCGTTCACACTGTTTTCCCTCAGCTCATGTTTCCTCTGTTGATCTATGAATAACTTACAAAAAAAACTGAAACAAACTGAATTGCGTCATGTTTGTTGTCAGAGAAAATTTGTTTAATGAGAAACGATGACACTTAGCCATGCAGTTCACACCTAGTGAGACACCAACGGATCACGGAAACAAAACATTCACTGGGTTTGACGACATAAAAACGACTACCAAGCCAGCATCTTGATGGTTTCAATAGCATGTGAATCACTGACCCCAAGTACGAACCCGTTAGGAAGAAATGTATGCATGAATATGGAGAACTCGAGAAAAGAAACTACGGATAGTTTGTCCCACGAACCTTGTACTACGACGCATATGTTCAAAGCAGAAAACCGTCGTTCCAACGATTGACTTTATTACAAATCCTCAGGCAATAAGTGTGGATGCTGTAGCACTATCGTACTTCCAGTTGGGAGGCAACACACGGCGGGTCTTGTAGTACCGTGCCAGACGGTGGATCCTGCTTTCAACAAGAATTAGACGGAACTTTCCATCCTTGTCTTTACGATTTCGACCGAGATGTTTACGGATGGCAACCGCCTTTTTCACCAACTGAAACAAATCCTCGGGGATGGACGGGGCGAGTCCTTTGGCTTTGAGTATACGCAAGATCTTATTTCCTGCCAACCACCTGACTTGGGCCACGCCGAAGCTATCACGTAAAATAACACCTGTAATAACGTTAAGTAGTAAGCGTCAAACTCACCAATTTGTGAAGGCGATAGACCTTTTCTTGCCAATTTATAAATCTGTTCCTTCACTTCATCCGCTGACATCTTCTGCCATGATGGCACGGAACGCCTATAAGGAAGGGCACTCTTCGAGATACCCTTCCCAGCACTGTGCATGCGACCCATTTTGACTAGCAGCAACCACGAGCGCGTAATACGAAGAGAGCGCGACTAGTAAGTCATTGATGGATATAAACAAATTTCAAATTTCAGGACGTGAGTAGGCCTTTGCCTGTGAGGTGTACTGGTGATGATGTCTTCTGTACTGAGAGTGGGACTGATATTGGTTTATCCGTTCCGGAAGTATCCAGAGCTAGAGAGATAGGAAAAATGATGGCGCAGCCTCTGTTTCTTGGGTCACAGGCTGAGTTATTTCGAAGTCTTGAAGTGACTCTCAGGTTCGAGGCTGGCGCCCAATGGTCTCTATTCCTTGATGGTTTCTTGTCGTCTGTTCTTGGAGAATGCAACTGGAAAATCAGAGAAAACTGGAGGGACAAAATATCGGCAAAATCGGCAAAGTATCGTTCAAGTTGAAGCTTGATTAATCCTGGGAATCCACGTTCCTCGATTGTATCTAACACCAGGCATAAGGTCGCTAATAGCTCGTCCATCACCGTCCCCTCTTTACATTTAATTCATTACCTCGTACTCCACTTTGATTTCTCCGTGCGCGCCCTTTGATTGGCTGCGCTACAATCTCGTGTTATCACATGTCATCAAATTTGAAGGATTTTTGGCATTATTATGGCATTTGTTCGTCGATATACCAGATCGGAATAACTTCTACTCAAACTTTCTGACGGACTCACATCACGATTTGATTCGACCACACTCAATTCTCTCGGATTTCGGAATTCACACAAAAAGCACAACCGGGCCGGATGGCAAGTTGCTTTTAACTGCACCCCTCCGTCAAAAATGTCCGTCCCATCACTACCGAGTACGAACATACGTTCATTGTTCACGAAACTCTTGGATTTATCACTTGATCTCCGTTCCCGGATTCACGTTCATACTTGTCTGGTTTGTATACAAGAACCTTGGCTGAACCCTCATGTTGCTGACGCGTTAGTGTCCATTGACGGATTTAACTTGTACCGGCAAGACAGGGAATCATTTGGCAGGAAATCCGGTCAACACTTCGTGGTGTGGCAAATCAGATGCCGTTTACTCATACTCAAGTAACGGTTTTGATTGTTTGTATCTTCAATGTATCTTCAAATTGGCAAGTCAAGTCAAGTCAGGTTTCTAGGACGAAAACAGACTTTCGCCTAACGTGCGTCCAG